TAATATATACACTAATACATTACTAATATATACTATATACTATATATACTATATATACTAATATATACTACTAAGATATATACTAATATAATATATATAATACTAGAATATATATTATACTAAATACCTATATAATACATATATTATACTAAATATCTATATATTATACTAAATATCTATGTCTAAGAATCTGTCCATTTCTTCTGAGTTTTCCATGGTATTAGAATACAGATTTTCATGACAGGAAACCACCTCCTGAAGTGAAACTGGGCAATATGGGTTAACTGTACAGCTAAGCTCTCTGAGAAAGCTGATGGGCATGATCCTAACTATGTACAGGTATAGCTATAATGTAATGGGAGCAGAGCATGACAGACTTAGAAGTTCTGCCAGAACTCCCCTTGACTACTGTCCCCCCAAACCACCACTGCTTCACTTCTGCTTCTGTAACTACACCTGACAACAGCTTGCAATGTAAGGTTGCCCCCAGAATAAGAATGATATAAAAGTAAAAGCAAGACCCTACTCAGGGCTCTCAGGAGGACATGGGTCCCTGTGGAGATGCTGGCAAAGTAAAATGGCTCCTTGCTCCTAAACTCCGTGTCCAGGAGATTTGGTGGAATTCCCATTTATCTCCTGCTTCACTCAAGGTAGATATTAATGATTTTCTGGATTTCTGCAGGATCTGTTGTGATTTCACCCTTTTCATTCCTAATGGCATATATTTGGGTCTTTTCTTTCATTTTCTTGATAAGGTTGGCTAAGGGTTTTTCTATTTTATTTAATCTTTCAAAGAACCAGCTCAATTCATTGATTCTTTGTTTTGTTGTCTTAGTCTCAATTGCACTAATTTCTCTAATATCCACCCTCATATGCACTTTGGGGTTAGCTTGCTCTTCTTTTTCTAGAACTCTGAGGTTCAATAATAGATTATTTACTTGAGCTTGCTCTGTTTTTCTGATGTGTGTATTCACCACTATAAATTTCCTTCACAGGACTGCTTACACTGCATCCCATAATTTTGGTATGTACTGATATTACAGGCATTATTAATTGTAGAAACTGTCTAGTTTTGGTATGTACTGGCATTATTGTTTAGTTGTAGAAACTGTCTAATTTCTTCTTTAATTTTATCAGTGACCCACTGGTTGTTCAGAAGGGTGTTATATAATTTCCATGTGTTTATGCAGTTCTTGTGGTTTCTTTTGCCACTGACTTCCAATTTCACTGTACTAGGATCTGATAATATGCGTGGGATAATTTTAATTCCTTTGCACTTACTTAAGCATATTCTATGAGCTAATATGCAGTCTGTCTTGGAGAGTCTCGTGTTGCTTAGAATATGTATTCCAATGTAATGGGGTGGAACACTGTAGATATCTACTAAATCCTTTGTTTAAAAGCTTGGTTCAGCTTTGATTGTTTCTTTGTTGTTTTTTTGTCTAGTTGATCTATCCGTGACAGTGGGATACTGATGTGCCCCTTTAGAATTGTATTAGTGCTTATCTGATTTTTCATATTCATTGATGCTTGTTTTATATAGTTGGGTACACTGGTATTTGGTGCATATATGTTCATGACTGCTACCTCTTTTCTTGCAGTTGTTCCCTTAACAAGTATGTAGTGACCTTCTTTGTCTCTTCTGATCAGTCTTGACTTGAAATTCACTTTGCCTGCAAATAGAATAGCTACCCCTGCTTTTTTTCCAGGTTCCTGTCACATGCAGTATTGTTTTCCATCCTTTGACTTTCCATCTGTTTCTTGTATGCAGGATATTGTTAGATTTTGTTTCTTGATCCATCTTGCCACTCTGTTTCTTTTGATTGGTGAATTGAGACATTCACATTGATGATTATAACTGTTATCTACTGACTTATCCTTGTCATATTATTTTTCTGTTATTGATTACCTTTCTTTCCCTTCTGTCTAACTGCCTGCCTTGACTGGTGGATTCATCCTCTTGGGATTCATGGAATTTTTGTCCTTGTTGTCTTTTACTAGCATATCTTTCAGAACTTTTTGGAGTGCTGATTTGGTGGTCATGAACTTCTTTAGGTGTTCTTTCTCACTGAAGTATCTTATTTCTCCAGAAAGTCTGGAAAAATAATTTTTCAGGGTACATCAATCTGGGTTGGAGGTTGTTTTCTTTTATGGCTTGAAATACTTCAAGCTCTCCTTGACTTAAGGGTTTGTGTTTAGAAGTCTGCTGTAATTCTGATGGGTTTTTCTTTTTCTCTTCCTTTTAATTTTTCCTTTACTCTTTTTTTCTCCTTTTCTCATCTTTGTTCTTTTCTGTTACCTTTATGTAATTCTATTTTTTTCTATTCCTTAATAGGATTCTTTATTTCATTTTTCTTTCATCTTCCATTGCTTAATTTTTCAAATCTTTCTCCTTTTATTCTCCTGTCCATCACTCTCTGTATTTTTACTAGTATAAACATTAAGTATTATTAATCTTTAGATAGTTACCTCTATGTTATTACTATTCAATTTGCTTCTACTGTTAGTAGAGATACAGTTGTCACATTTAGTAGCTGTTTACTGTATGTTAATATTAGGTTTGTCTTAGTGTTTATGCTGTAATTATAGATCTGTTTTCTGTGGTGAAGGGTGGTAAAGTATTGGTTCTTTTTTTGTTCTGTGTTTTTTCTGTTTTGTTTTTTGAGACAGGTCTCACTATGTACTTCAGGCTAGCCTTGAACTCATGGCAATCCTCCTGTTTCATGCTTCTGAGTGCTGGGACTATACATATGCACCATTACACCTGGCCCAGCACTGGTTAGTATGGTATGTTAGTACCCAGTTTGTCTTCGACACCATTAATGTCACTGATTCACTTGCTATTGCCAGGGTGGCATAGATATTGCTAATATAAGGTTTTCTCTGTATGCCAATATCCAGAGTACCTTTGTATTACATAAGGAACAAACAATACTGTGGTCCTTTCCCAGAGAACTAGGTGTTGAGCCAATTACCCTGCATCCTTCCCTCCCAAATTAATAGAAGTGATTGGATCTTGGGACAGAGGCAAAGGCATATAATTAGCTATGCCCAGTGGCCTACAGTTAGCTATTGAAAAGCAGACACTACAGAGATCTCCATACTAGTGACAAAGTCTTTCTACTATAAGCACACACAAACCAAAGCCAAAAAAAAAAAAAAAAGAAAAGAAAAAGAAATATGAGGAGACAAGGCAACAAAATACCTTCCAAAAACTTCCAACTTCCCCCTAAAGCTAAGCAATGGGGAAGTAATCAAAAATCACACACCCAAATTATCTGAAAGAATAACCAAGGTCATTAAAAACATAGATCAGGAAGGTTCTCAGTGAGTTCAAACAAGATACTATAATTAAACAAATAATGAACATAATAAAGAAAATGATCAGCAAGTTTATAGAAAATATTAATAAATAGCTAGCTCACAGAATTAGATAAAGGTAATAGAAAAGAATAAAGAAGAAAAAAGAGGAGAAAAATAAGAATAAAAAAGAAAAAATTAAAAGGAAAGAAAAACCCATCAGAATCACAATACAAAACATGAATGACTGGGACGTAGGATATAGCTCAGTGGCACAGTGCCTGCCTGGCAAGCATGAAGTCCTGAGCCTGATTCCTGGTACCAAAAAAAAAAAAAAGAATGACAAGTTTGACAAAGAATTAAGAAAGAGTCCATGAAAATATTCTAAGTGGAAATCCAGGAGATTAAAACTTCAATTGGAAATATGGGTACCAGAAGCAACCAATGTAAGGACAGTGTATCAGAACTAGAAGACAGGGCTGCGGTCAGAGACCCATTATTCAAAGATACCTTAAAAACACAAGAGAACGTGAGAAATGGGTCCAACAGCTGCTAGATGACACAAAGAAGACTAATTTAAGATTAACTGGAATTTGTGAAAAATCAGAAGACAACACAGATGACACAGAAACCCTATATAAGAAACAGTACCAGAGAACTTTCCAAATATAAGGGAAGATGTAGTTAAGTTCTCAATGCGGATCTTAACCTGGGATGTTACTATAAGAAGATCATTTAGTCTAAAATTAAGGTCTGTGTTGGGCCCTGTGTAGGAGGGACATAAGACCGGTTTGCAATCAGTGCACTGGCTTTAGGACTGTAAATATGGACTAGGTAACCATTAATTTCTACTTTCTTGGATAATTTGTTTTTCTAATATACAAAACTTTCCCCCTAAAAACAAATTAATGAAACTTCTCAGAAATTTTAGTATTTTAGAAACTGAATTTGTCCGTCAATTTGCATCTTCACTTGGAATTAACAGAGAATTATTTTTGTCAGGCTGTGTTTCTCAAGTCACATCTAGAGAGCTGTGGCATTAAAAACTTTCAGAATGTTTGTGTTCTCTCTTATTTTGTTATTTCAAGCCGTCCTTTCTTCCTCCTTTCTCTTTTTTCCCAATTTTCATTTTTTATTAGCACGTCTGCAGTACATAATAGTCACATTTCCACTGGGGCATTGGTGTGTGTATATAATGCATCCCAATTCTTTTTTTCATCTCTCCTCCTCTCCCTCTCTGTCTCGTGATCCTCTTCCCATTCAAAAAAGATTTACCTCCCTACTTCCTATTATCTTTTATCTTGCTCTGTATATACTGGGTTTTGCGCAGGGTTTTTTTGTCCTTTTGTCTGGAACCCTGGAAATTCTTACAACTAAAGACAATGCATTGTATTAACATACCATTCTTTTATAAAGAGGAAAAACAATAACTGAAAGGGAAGGGGGAAAACCCATCCACAACAGATGCTCTTAAGCAGCTCAGTTTTAGGAACGAGAACTAGAAATTGTCTCTTTAAAATCATCCATGCCTCTTCAGCCTAGAAGACTATCTATAAGCACCCAGGGATATGAGCACTTCAGTCTGGTTTGCAGGCTACGCCCCTATACTCGATGACCCTCTTAGAACTTAATTATATGCTGGCTACCTGGTTTAGGCTTAGCTATCTTTACCTGTAGCAAAGCAGCTACAAGAGCATTACCTGGGAAAGTGATTAACTTTTTGTGCTTCAGAGAGGGTGCGAAGTAAAAAGGGCTTCAAGTGAGATCCGGTCCACATCAGGTTATAGTCAGTGCTGCTTGGGTGAACCTGAGGGCAGACAGAAACACAGAATGCAAAAACCTCTCAGAGACAGCCCCTCTCCTGGAAGAGCACTGGCTGAAAGAGCCACAGTCATTTTTCATCCACAGACAACTCACAGGAATGGCCCAATGATTATGTAAGCCTAGTGAAACAAAAGCAACTGTCACAGAACATACAACAGAACACATTTAAAGAATGAGAGAGGTGCCAAGCACAGTGGCATACACCTGTAGTCACAGCTACTCAGGAGGCTGAAGCTGGAGAATCCCACAGCCTGGGCAACTTGGAAAGATATTGTCTCAAACAAATAAGCCAGTAATAGTGGTGCACACATGTTATCCAAGCATTCTGGGAAGCTAAGGTAGGAAGATTCCAAGTTTAAGTCTACCCTGGGGAACTGTTTCCATATCTCAAAATAAAAAAATTAAAAAAGGATTGGGGATGGAGCTTAGTGTGAAAGCCCTGGGTTCAAGCATATCCTCCCCCACTCCAAATTGCAAAAAATAAAATAAATTTACCACCCTTTTTAAAAGTTGATGATGTTTCTCAATATTCTTGCTTATCAAAGTATAAGATTAGGCCCCAACCCCAAAACTGCAGATATTAGGTAGAAAGTATTAATCAGAACTGAAACCTCATAGTAGCAAACCAATTCAGGTTGTATTTGTTCATTAGAATTCATTTGTCCATTCACTCAACAATTACTTACTCTATGCCTACAATGTGATAAGACCATAGCAAGCACTGGAGATAAAAAAGCAAAAACTAAATATACAAAGGTGTCAGAAAGTCACCCACTATCTCCTATAGATCTCAACTAAGAATATGGAGCTAGCAACCAGTCTTTCATCAGTGGTCTCAAAGTATCTGTAGCAGAGGTCTGTTCTGCATTTTTGCCTGTCCTTTTATGACAACATCTCAATATTCTTGATTTTCATTAGGGGAAAGACTTATTCCTTGTTTGGTATGTAAGCATGTATTTATTGAGACAGGGTCTCGCTACGTAGTTCAGGATGGCCTTAAACTCACTCTGTAGCCCAGGCTGGCCTCAAACTCGCAGCAATCCTCCTGCTCAGCCTCCCAAGTGCTGGGATTACAGGCATGGGCCACCATGCCCGCCCTTACTCCTAGGTGTTAAAGAATACATCAGTCATCCATGCACTCTCCCCCACAAGGAGAGAATCGTGAACCAAAGCTAATCCAGTCATTCTATGTCTGGAGAAAGGCACAGGACAATGAAGGGAGTCTAGTAATGCCCACGGCAGTGCGTGGAGAAGACAATCCTGAAGATTACTGACCCCATGTGCCCAAGGCTACCCTGCTCTTTCTCCTCCTGACTTCTCAGATTTTCCTCTAATTCTGCCATCCTTTGTACACTTCTCCAAATCTCTTTTGGCTTAAGTTATTCAAAGTCCAATTCTAGTGGCTACAATCTAAGAACCTTAATTGGGTACCAGACAATGTCATATGAGAACTCAGCATCTGGCACAAGCCTAAGAACATAGCAAGAGAGAAATAGAGTCCTGTGGAAATGCTCTCCTTGTATTGCAGGGAGAAACTGGTAAAACCACTAACAAATTCGATCCAAGTTCTACATCTTCAGTAAACACTGGTCCCATGTACTTTCTAGAGCTGGCAGCTAGCTAAGTGGCTAGGATTTTCAGCTTTTGAGTAGGTCAGGTGAGGTAGTAAAAACAAGCTTACCTCATGAAATCCATGGGCTGTCAGAATGCTGCGTACCAGGCGACTGTCCGTTCGCACAATCTTATAAGACAAATGATAACGTTCTAAAGAGAAACACAGAATCAAGTTTATTAACCTGCAAGTTAACAATAAAAACAAAATAAACTCTAAAATGGTTGCTTTCTTCATTATACTCAGTCACATTATGTTGTCAGCTTTAAAACTATCCTACAAAGGGCTCTGTAGCTCAGCATTATAGCACTTGCCCGCCATGTACACAGTCCTGGATTCAATTCCAGGTACTGCAAAACAAAAATGAAAACACCTATTGTAAATAACTGATGATATTTGGGACCAAGGGTCCAAATATCTGAGACTCTGCGGTTTGCTAAACTCGGATAGCAGAAAAAAATTTACATCCTTGCTTTCACTAACTTCTAACTAAAATTTTCACAATGCCTTCAAAGAGGAATGCAGGCAACAGAGCAGGAGTAAGTAATAACAGTATCTGTGATGCCACCAATAGATCGGGTATTTTAATATCACTTCTCAATTGTTACAATTTCCTCAGAGTACCATTCTTATAGTATTTGTAAGTTATGATAGTTAACAAAAACTTTCACTATATTGTGTTATTTAATGCAATGATAAAGCAGGTATATCATAATTTTTAAATATTTTAATTACAATATTTCAGTGCAATTGATTTCCTTTGTAGTCATTTTTTTTTTTTAATCCCCTTAAAAACATTCTACTCAGAACTGGCCCCAGGCTTCCCCAGACTGCCAAGGCGATCCACTGTACCCAAAAGGCTAAGATCCCTGTTCTAGACAGCCCTGTGTCTGACCACACTCATTACAGGCATGTTGCAGGCCACAGGTTAGAAACTGGTAGCCCCGGGACCAAATCCAGCCAGGAGACGTGGTTTGTTCATTCCTTACAGTGCTCCAAAAACAAAAGTGAATTCATTGCTAACCTTTGGAAATTGGGAGAATTAACAGAAAAGTCTGGATTTGGGGGCTTTTCTTGAAAAAATGTGGCAACCTTGGGCTCTTTTCTCTCCAGTGTAAGAGTCATCTGGAGACCAGCAACTGTTCCCTGAAGGACAGGGCCACACTGTCCAGTTCAGCCAGTGCCAGGCTTGCTTCTGCCATGCACACTTCCTGTCAGGCCCCTGTAGGAACATGTGCCTATGAGCCTGTCTTACAGGGAAGTTTAATCACATCAGATCTTGACTGAGCCCCAAAGATGACCATTTATTCTGGACTATTAAATTCAATTTCTTTCTATGTGCCACTCCACACTGAGAAAACTGGCTAAAAATCCTACAGAATGCTGGACATGGTTGCATATGCCTGTAATCCCAGCACTCAGGAGGCTGAGATAGGAGGATCACTGTAAGTTCAAGGCCAGCCTGAATTACAAGTGAGACCTACAGAACAATTTTTTACAAGGATTCTATATAAAAAATTTGCTGAATTACTATAGTACAGACCTTACAGATACACTCTAGGACAGTATTTAGCCTCCACTGTCAAAACCATCTAAAGATAGCCATTTCTTTCTATCAATTTATGTGAAAATATTCATAAATCACTGCTGCTCCTTGCCCAGGCCTGGCAGGCACTCCGTGCAAAGTAGATGCACAAAGCCTGGCACAAACAAGCTGGGCATTCCATACACTGTATAATTATTCCTGTGGCAAGCTTCTAAAGACCAGTTACAGTCTTTTCCCAATGATCCATCACTCATGTGTTGCCGCTGCAATATGGTTATAAGAGAAATAGTGCAGACTATATGGTGCAGAATAGAATGTCAGTGCAGAGCACCGCTTAGGAATATGTGTTCTGATTCTGAGTTGGAGAGGGAAAGCACTAGATAGGCCTGGAACATCTTGCTATGACAAAATACAGGGAAGTGCTCAAGAACTGGGAGCATGTCACAAATGGACAAATCTGAGACAATCTGAATATAATTTATTTTTGAGACAGTGTCTCACTAGGCTGTCCAGGCTGAACTTAGACCTTTAATCCTGCATCAGCTTCTCAGGGGAGAATAGTGACAGACCTATAATGCACTTACTTATAAAAGAATCTATGAGAACACACTGACAAGGTAAGAAGGTATACTTGTTTTCTTCTGCTACTATTTACAGAAATTCCACATTTAAACAGACATTTATCATATTATGGTTCTGGAGGTCAGAAGGCTAGCACCAGTCTCTCACAGGCTAAAATCAGTGGGCTCTGGATAGGGTTTGTGCCCTTTTTCTAGCTTCTAGTGGCCACAGTTTGTAACTCATGGTTCCCTTCCTTTACCTTCAAAGGAAGTAATGACAGGTCTAGTTTTTCTCACATTGGGTCACTCTTGCCTCTTCTACCTCCTTATTCCATTTGGAAGGGCTCTGGTGATGATGTTGGACATTCCTAGGTAATCCAGGATAATCTCCTTATCTCAAAAACATATGGGTAGCAACTTTAATCCTTCTTACCATGTAAGGTGATATATTCACAAGCTTCAAAGATTAGGATATAAACATATTGGGGGGGCTTACCATGATCCACATTCAAGATCCCAAAGATTCACACTCCTCTCACATGCAAGATACATTCAACCCAAAGTCTAAGTCTAGAATATCACCTAAATGTACTAGCTCAAAATCCCCATATCTCACTGGGTATACAGGAAAACATCTGTGATCCCAGCACTCAGGGAGGCTGATGCAGGAGGATAGCAAATCCCAACTCAGCCTGGGAAACTTAGCAAGATCCTATCTCAAAATAAAAACTAAAAAACAGGGTAAAGATGTAGTTCAGAGAGAAGGTGCCGAGTTCAACCCCCAGTTCCAAAACAAATGACTATAACAAAACCACTCCCAAGTCACATCATCGAAATGAAGCATAGGTATGATTTACCCTGGGAAAAATCTGCTCTTAAGAAACAAGTTATTTGTTCCCAAAATACAATAGCAGCACAGAACACTAGCTACAGATATCCTGGTTTAAAAGTGGAAAAGAACTGAAGGAAAAATAGGAGCCATACATCTTGATAATTTCAAAATCTAACCAAGCAAACTCCATTAGGTTTGGAGACCTCAGAACAGTGCTCCTAATTCACAGGTCTGCCCTCTGGGCTTAAGGCTCCACTCTTGAAGCAGCCTTCTTTTTTTAAAAAAGTTAGCACATTTTTACAGCTAAGTAGTTCTATCATTTGTTTTGCTTGCAGAATTTTGTGAGCCAGCAACCTTTTAAGTTTCATCCTTGGGCTGTTCCTTTTGTTATCAGGTAGTTCCTTCAGTGGGTTGCCAGTTAAATGTTACCAGGTTCTGGGTTGCTTGCCTCTTCCTCTGGAGTTAGATTGCAAGTTCTCTGTGTCTAGAACAAAGGACTGAACAAAACAAGCAAAAAGCACTGGCCAAATTTGTTCGAGAAAGGAAAAGTGAAGAATGAGGGAGGGAGAAACTGGCTCTGCACAGCAAGCTTGGGCTAAGTAAAAAGAGAAAATGCAATAAAAGGACACCTTGGAGAAAACAAGGCCAGCTACCATGAAGAAATTTCAAGTATGGGTCCTGACAGGCAGTGCTGTGATCCCACACCTCAGGCTGACACAAGGCCTATTGAAAACCTGGAAGAGTTCTTGTGAGAAGTCCACGTGTAGGACTCTGGAAACTGTTCTGTGCGCGTGTTCTGGGATCTTTGTAACTAACAGGTCATGCCTACTTCCCCAGCCAGCTTTGGCACGCCCTAATCTCCCATCTCACTTTCAGTCCAAGCTACAGTATATTTGCTGGTATTACATGCCAAAGAAACTTATACGTCCCTTGTGCATGGATTCACTCCCTAAGACAAGAAAATCCTCCAGAGATCTTTACTATTTTATGTCATTTTTAGGCTCCACATCCCTTGGTTTATAGTCCTCTTCTCCAGCTACAAAGGCAACCGTTATGGGCCTATTCCTCATGTAGCATCCCTCTATCTCCCTCTTCCACTTCAATACTCTCATGATTACACTGGGCCCTCTTCGATAATCTTCTTAGCCTAAAGTCAACTGACTATATACTTTAATTACATCTAAAATCTCAATTCCCCTTTGCCTTCTAAGGTATCATATTCACAGGTTCTGAAAATTAGGTAGATTTCTTCAGTGGACTATTATTCTGCCTACCAGAAAAAGGAAAGCTCTGGTTACAGAAAATCTACCTAATAAACATAAAAGGAAGGAGAAAAATGGAAACCCAACACTTCACAAAAATATAAGAGTGATTCAGACAAGATTCAAGGGAAACTAACAGGGGAGAGACTATTGGAAATAAGATACATCTTAAAATATCACTCTAGAGAATGCTTATAACAAGGGGGAAATGTATGTTTACAAAGACCCAATCTAGTGAACACCATCTTAACCAAATGATCAATCTTCGTGTCATGGTTTATACCCAGATGTCTGCCAAGACCCTCATGAACTCACAGGTAGGGCTTTTAAAAGGTGACTGGGTTATAAGGGCAGAATAGCTGACTTGATATTAGGAGGCAGGACCTGGTCAGAAGGGAACACTGGGGACATGACCTTAAAGTATATATCTCCCTCCCTTGCTCCTCCCTTCCCTCTCTGCTTCCTGTAAGCCATGCTGTAAGCAGCCCTCCTCCCCTCACTCCCTACCATGCCCATCCTACTTGGAGCCAACCAACTATGGACTGAAATATAAGCCAAACTAAACCTCTCCTTCCTTAAGTTGTGGGTACTGGGTACTTTGAACCAGCAAAGAGAAAGTGACTGAGACACATGCCATAACGAGTAATACAAAATAATGACACTGTGTGCTTCCAAAAGTGATGCACTGAGAATACAACTTCACCAAGTGATATTCCCACATATTTTTAAAACTCTGAATCTAGACAAGGATGTCAAGAGAACTTAAGGATATCTGTAGAACAACTAATCTAAACTCTTTTAAAAATTTGGTTATGGAAGATAAAAAAAAAATGTCTAGGAAATGGCTATAGATTACAGAAGAGTTAAAAAGTGTGACAACTCAATGTAATCTTTGATTGGATCCTAGATACAACAATGAAACAAAACAACCACAAAAGGCAAAAACTGGAAC